TGTATATTTTACATAAGTGGTGAATGTTCTACACAACAGTATATTCTATGTAAGTATATATACTATTATGTACTGGCATTAGTATATTCTATACAAGTAAATGTGTATTTACAAGCAGTGTATGTTTCATACAACTGTATTTTTATACAAGCAAGCATATATTCTTCACAATAAGCACACATATTCAAACTGAGCAAAAAGCAAGCAAAGATACTACACATGATAGTGTATTCACTATTCAAACAAATATATATTCTCCAGGAATAAATGTGTAATCCATACCTACAAACATATAGTCTACACCAAAAAGCCTATCTGCAAATATACAATATACATCTCTCCGGTTGGCCTTCTCTTTCCAGTTGGGGACATCAAGTGCTTGTAGGTCTGTCTGGATCATCATCTTCTTGGTCTGCCTTGTGGTTCATGACCATTTAGTTCCCTTACTTTTACAGTTTTTACCTCTCTGTCACCTGACATTCTCTTAATATGAACCAGTCATTTCAGTCTATTAGCCCTCATGATGCCAGTGATCAATGCAGATTTAAACAGACTATCAATTTTATTGTTGCTTCTCACCCTCAATTCCCACCAAAAAAATTGTTGTAAGACTGTTTTCAAAAATGTGCAATGAGGCTTTATCTCTATTAGATGTGCTCCCGGTTTCACAGTCATAAAAAACAACTGGTCTTATCAGCATTTTGTATATTGTGATCTTGGACTAAATAAAAGTTTGTATTAAGCAGAGGATAAAGAAACAGGGGTGACTGCATGCAGGCAAACAAATACTAAGAATACAAATATTTTCACTCCTTTATTTAATTTGTTCCACTTCACCTTTTCCTCTTCTTATATTTTATATTTATTCATGTGGACAGTCTCCCCCCTCCCCCCAACCTTCCATGTGCGCAGACATGTGGTCAGAAAACTCTATCTCTTGTTGTTCCTGGTGCGGTTTCTGTCGTTCAAGCTTCTGGCTGAACCATCCACATTTTTCTTATTTGTGGACGTTGTTCCCCTTCTTCAAACTTCTTGGTCACAGCTTGGTGATTTATATACATGGATGATGGTAGAGTCCTTCAGGACATCCTCTATGGTGAATTACTGAGCAGTATAAAATGCTGAAGTCAGCCACTATTTCTTCTTAAAGTCTATGCTGTGTGACATTTTAAGTCATGTCTTTCCACAACCTTCTATCTTGTGTACCTTCCATTAACACTGACACAGATGATCTTCCATGCCAAGATGTCTAACTGTCCAACATCAGTTCTCTCGGTCTCCCTCTGCCTCTTCTGGCCTCCAACTTTCCTACCATCAAGATGTACTCCAGTTTTCTCTTTCTCAACACATGACCGCAAGCCACTTGTCTGGCCTCTGCGGGCCTAATCTGGCCCGCATGCCGCCAGTTGAATGGTCCTGCCATAAAAGATCCTTCACCACCACAACACAAAGAAGGTCTGTGATCACAACATAAAACATCCTCCACCACTACAACACAAAGAAGGTCTGTGATGACACCATAAAAGATCCTCCACCACCACAACACAAAAGTTAAAGAAAATAATGAAAACTACAAAAAGATACATAGTAAAATAGGAAAATCAACACATCACATGCTGCAGTGTGTATAGTACTAGCACTATGGTTACTGATTTGTATGGGTTTAATACTCATATTTTTTTATAGTCTTCCCCATCTATGACTGCAGTCTAATGTATTATATTAAGATAATAAAAGTCTTATGTCAGAAACTTCTTTTGAAGTAGGGGGCTGAGCGCGGTCTCAAGGCATGGTGTCCGCCTTGAGTGCAAGAGGTTCCGGGTTCAATCCCAGGTAGAGGCTGGGATTTTTTAACGTGGACTTGGACTCCTAGTAAATCCCCTTGCTCTCTGGGTAGTGAGATCGGATGCCCGTGTGCATAAATATCTTGGCAGTTGAAAATCAAAAAGAGTAGCCTAATGGCGCTGCCTAGGCAAAAATTTTCGGTTGAAAATCTACCCAAAGTATTTCAGGATCCTCCCCTGTGCACTGTGCTGAGCTTCTTCGGACTCAAGACTTGAGTAAAGAGAAGAATAGAGCACTTAAGGGTTACCACACATGTGCTATGATGTTGATCCGTTGTTCAAACCTCCAACCTTCTTTTAGAGTGTGAAGTATTCAAAGGACCATAGTGATGCATCAGACATGTAGTGCTAGACCCATATATATATATTAAAAAAAAAAATAGAAGAATCAGCATTAGATGAAGGGTGATGAGGACAACATCACACCAGCCGCATCTACCTCCCAGGATGTAACCTGGTAAAAATTGTAGGCTGGGTCAACCTGGGAGCCAAGGTCAGTATAACAAATACAAAAAGATCAGCCTTTATGCAGATTTGAATTTTACACCATAGGACAGGCAAATAAGTGACTAGCCACTACACCATGGTAGCTCTCTATAAAGTATTAGGCATACTTTATATATTTTAAGAGCAGCATAAGGCAATGGAGTGGCCATTTAGATCCAGAGGTGACTTTCTAAACTGGACAATTCTAAGAACATTCTTAAAATTGTCTGTGTGTCTGTGCAAAAAAAAAAAAAAAGGAAGTTTATTAGTGTCTTGATAAGATAACTGTCTGCGAGCCTAAGGTTTTGGGGGTCAAATCAACACTGAATACTACTTTTATAATCAGCCTAGGCTTCTGGGTCGACCTAGATGGGTACCAGGAAATATTATACTGACCACATTGCTAGTTGAGTGCTGACTATTTAAAAAAAAGTATGGGCCTAGCTCCACAGCCACAATGGCGTGAGAAGGGTCTCTTTGAGGTTGGAGAGGGGGGAGAGGTTGTTACTTATATCTTTGGGAAAAAAAACAAAAAAAACAACAACCTTACTCACTCCTCCCAAGTCTCCTTTTCCACATTCTAATATTTTAGCTTGCAGTTCACCCCCCCCTCCTTTATGTGCATGAATTTCTTGTAAGATGTTTATTTAATTTACACACAAGTTTTTCTGTTGTTTTGTTTGTTGATAAAGACTTTGGTAGATACCAATCATCTATTTCTCAATAACTATGTTTGTTTTTGAAATTTTAGCAGTCTAAGTACATGTTGTTTTGTTATCAAGATTTCGGCTGTTGCCATGGCAGCCATGATTTTTAAAACTTGAAGCGTACAAATGTATTAACATAAATCCCTACAAACGGCCATTTTAAAATAATTGGTCTAACATTGTGAATAATAAAAAAACTTCTTTTCGTGTAGTGACCCCTTAAGCATTTTACAGGACTACAGGGTACTTCTTCTCAAAACATACATTTCAGCAAATCGCCTCATCAGTCATTTTTTATGACAAGCTTGTTAAGAGGTAGTGGGTCTATTTCCCGATCCTCTACTCCCAATGGAGCTCAGTAAACTCTGTGACATGGGTAGTCAAATTAAGTAGCAGCCAGGAGGGGACAACAGACAGACAGGGTGATTACATACTGTGTAACAGTTTCAACAAGTTCATGCAGTATAACAATATACAATTCCGACACCTAAAACAAATGTACTCCTACCTAAGACTGATTCATTTCCAAGCATTAATGAAATCTGAAAGACAAGACGTGGAACAAACTTGATTCCTCACTAGAGAGCTCAACAGAAAGAAAGGGGACTATGCTTTCTGTTTCTGCTGCCCTTTCTTCTCCAACAGAGCAGTCTTTCAACCAGCTTGAAGAACTCTGTCTTAACATTTGTCTTCTCCCCTCAAGGACTCCATATCTTTTTCCTATATTTTCTAAATATCTTCTTTTTTGGTCTTTAATTCACACAAAAATAAAAATAAAAAGCATAATAAAGAAAACTTTGAGTTAGAATAGATAAAACAGATCGGTCTGATGAAAGATTAGAAAAAACAAAAAACTTTAGTGTAAAAACAAACTTTCTTGTGCAACACATTATTTTAAAGGGGTCACAAACCAGGTCAGGCAAGTCTATCTTACATCTAACCACTCATCTTTAGCAAAGTAATTATATTTTTGTAATCTATAAAGTCTATTTTGTTTATATAGCAATATACAAAATGTGACAATTAGGCAGAAACAAAAGCATGGATGATCAGTAGAAGGTTTTCTAGATACACACACGCGGACACACACACACACACACAGATGTATACGCACACATATATACATATGCATGTAAATATATACACAATCAGGGATCTTCTCAAGTGGTATCCAAAGGTATGCAGTACCCACAATTTTGTGGCGAGTATCAGTACCTTTATTTTTCAGACACTTTGCGGTGTGTACTAGCACCATTTTTCAGACAATTTCTGGGGAGTACCGGCACCTATTTTATAGTAGAAATACCACATTTATACATGGGTAGCCACGGAAGCTCAGTAGCTAGATGCTCACCTACCAGCCCAAAGGCCTAGAGCAGCACGTCTCAGACTGCCCGTCGCGACTCTTTTTTCAAATGTTCAAACGACTCTTTCCAAGGGGTTGCCTAAGACCATCGGAAAACACATCTTTATTGAAGTTATGAAGGAAAATAATTGTTTTTGGGTCGCCACGACAGGAGGGAACTGTATTAAAGGGTCGCAGCATTAGGAAGGTTGAGAACCACTGGGGAAGGGGGTTTAAATGTGGATCAAACTTGAGTTTTTTCTTCAAAACTGACCTTGGTTCTTAGCCTAAAAATAGGTACCATGTAACGTCCAGGAAAGTAAAGGTGTCCAATGGGATGCTGACATCACCCATCAAGGGTCAACGGGTCTAAAAAAACATATGTCTAGCACCTTATGGTCCTTTACTATTTTCATTCACACACACAGGCACATACACAAGCATACACACCATATACATAAATATATGCAAAAGCACACACATACTCTCTTATCTCTCTTTTTTAACATACTTTTATAGACAAAACACAAGCACATATGGACAAACACACACAGAAAAGTTTTTCTACACAAAAAACTTTTTAAATAATAAAAAAAAAATTTGGGTAAGAAAGCTTACTCACGTTGGTACTGATGTCTTATGAGAGTTGCTAAAGAAACTCCGAAGAACTAAAATCTGGCCAATCCCTATGATGATAATAAGAAGTGATTCCCCGACAGACCAGTAAAGGACTTGTTCGTTGAGGTCCTCTGCAAAAGTGCGACCCTGGGCCTCCTTGAGCCGATGGTGGGTCTGGTGCTCGCTGATTTTGTTCAAGTTCACAAAGATGTTGACTGTGGATGTTTCCAGCTGTTGACACACACACACAAAACATACTCATTTGAGTACTATTTATAGTGACTGTTTGTTTAATGAGGGAACTGGTCATTTTACAGTATATTCTTTTTCTTCTTTTGTGTTCACTCTTAAAAGGCCAGTTGGCACACTGTGGTTTACAGCTAGAATGTAATATATATATGTCTATCTGCCCAACACATGCAGTATCAGCAAACTCTTAATTATTCATCTTTAGCAACATACTTAAGATGCTGTGAGGTCTACTCTCCCACCCGCCCTCCTGACGTGACCCTTAAACCTGTATGGGAAAGATTATGGTATCGTCTTTTCTTCTTCGTTTTCTTCTTCTTTTTCTTCTTCAGCCTTCTAAGCCTTCAAGGTTCCTTGCTGCAAATATCACCAGCCTGCATTCATCTCTGTGATTCTCTTTCCACTCCGTTCTTACAAGTTTGCCTGAAAATGATCTCTCTGCTGTATGTTTGGTCTGCCTCAAGCACTACCCCTATTCAACTCTGTGATTCTCTTTCCATTTCAAGTTCTTACAGGTTTGCCTGAAAATGATCTCTCTGCTGTCTGGTCTGCCTCAAGCACTAGTCCTATTCAACTCTGTGATTCTCTTTCCACTCCAAGTTCTTACAGGTTTGCCTGAAAATGATCTCTCTGCTGTCTGGTCTGCCTCAAGCACTAGCCCTATTCAACTCTGTGATTCTCTTTCCATTTCAAGTTCTTACAGGTTTGCCTGAAAATGATCTCTCTGCTGTCTGGTCTGCCTCAAGCACTAGTCCTATTCAACTCTGTGATTCTCTTTCCACTCCAAGTTCTTACAGGTTTGCATGAAAATGATCTCTTTTCTGTCTGTTTGGTCTGCCTCAAACATTACCCCCAGGGCCGATAACAATCCCCCATTTCCCCTCTTTTGGTCCCTGTGTAATCGTAGCTGAATAGCCCTGCTTTAAACAGATGATACATTTTAGTGTGGCTTCTCACTATCCATTCTCCACTTTTTAAACATTCAAAATGTTCACATACACAGACCGACATAACCCTTGACCCACTAGGGTCAGGGAGATGTACTAATGGAAGCACCAGCACACAAAACCCACCATCTGTCTCTATCTTCCGCTTACACAAAGAGTGTATAATAATTTAGCAGCTATGATGGATGTTTAAAGTAGCAATGTAAGAAGAGACAGAGGCCAACCAAGAGAACTGAGGCTGGGGTGGTCTAAAATAGTGGACTATAGGAATATGATCAGCAAAAATGATCCATTAAACAATGGACTGTAGAGGGACCCCAATGCATACACCATATGGTAAGACACAATATGATAGGGACCCCAATGCATACACCATATGGTAAGACACAATATGATAGGGACCCCAATGCATACACCATCTGGTAAGACACACTATGATAGGGACCCCAATGCATACACCATATGGTAAGACACACTATGATAGGGACCCCAATGCATACACCATATGGTAAGACACAATATGATAGGGACCCCAATGCATACACCATCTGGTAAGACACAATATGATAGGGACCCCAATGCATACACCATCTGGTAAGACACAATATGATAGGGACCCCAATGCATACACCATCTGGTAAGACACAATATGATAGGGACCCCAATGCATACACCATCTGGTAAGACACAATATGATAGGGACCCCAATGCATACACCATCTGGTAAGACACAATGTGATAGGGACCCCAATGCATACACCATCTGGTAAGACACAATATGATAGGGACCCCAATGCATACACCATCTGGTAAGACACACTATGATAGGGACCCCAATGCATACACCATCTGGTAAGACACAATATGATAGGGACCCCAATGCATACACCATCTGGTAAGACACAATATGATAGGGACCCCAATGCATACACCATCTGGTAAGACACAATATGATAGGGACCCCAATGCATACACCATCTGGTAAGACACAATATGATAGGGACCCCAATGCATACACCATCTGGTAAGACACAATATGATAGGGACCCCAATGCATACACCATCTGGTAAGACACAATATGATAGGGACCCCAATGCATACACCATCTGGTAAGACACAATATGATAGGGACTCCAATGCATACATCATCTGGTAAGACACAATATGATAGGGACCCCAATGCATACACCATCTGGTAAGACACAATATGATAGGGACCCCAATGCATACACCATCTGGTAAGACACAATATGATAGGGACCCCAATGCATACACCATCTGGTAAGACACAATATGATAGGGACCCCAATGCATACACCATCTGGTAAGACACAATATGATAGGGACCCCAATGCATACACCATCTGGTAAGACACAATATGATAGGGACCCCAATGCATACACCATCTGGTAAGACACAATATGATAGGGACCCCAATGCATACACCATCTGGTAAGACACAATATGATAGGGACCCCAATGCATACACCATCTGGTAAGACACAATATGATAGTGTTCAAGATGATAGATCTTTTTCTTCTTCTCTTCACCCAGTCACCTCAGCAATGTAGCTGTGTGGTCTCGAAGTATGGCCTCCGCCTCAAGTGCTGGAGGTCCCGGGTTCAAGGCCTGGTTAAGGCTGGGATTTTTCTACATGGACATCTAGTAATTTCCCCTGGTCTTTGGGTAGTAAGATCAGACGCTCATATGCATTGTTGCGCACATTTAAAAAAAATCCCTTGGCAGTTGGTAATTTAAAAAAAAAAGTAGCCCAACGGCGCTGCCTGGGCTAAATTTTAAGAAAAATATCTACCCAAAGTATTTTAGGATCCTTGCCGCTGCTACGGAGTTCGTGCACTGCACTGATATTTTTCAGACTCAGGACTTAAATCAGAGGTAGAGCAGAGCACTAATGGGTTACTACCTTTGTGCCATGATGTTGATTCGTCATCTAAACCTAAACCTCAGCAAAGTCTTAGAGGGAGATACAAGGATTATCTATGCTCTTTCTGATGGACTGTGTGAGCTGGTCTATATTTCTCTAAGGCTATTCTTGAAGATGTCATTCCATCCGCTGTACAGTCTTCCCCTTACTCTGTGCTATTTTAAATTTTTCATCTCGGCTCTCTGTGACAGTTGCAGAATCAACCCCAGCATTGGCTGTTGTGGTTTTTCTAGGCAAATTTATGTCCAGTAGTTTGCCACTGCTTTCTGGATGGTCGGCTTCTTGATACCACTGTCGAAACCAACGCAAGGCCCACAGCTGGGATCCAACCCCGGCATTACGAAGCACGTGTACAACACCTAAGCCACGGACACCTACTTATGACAGTTGGTACCTGGGAAGTCTCCTCAGATGACCAAACTATTTCACCTGATACTCTTTAACCACTTATATTACTAATTCAGGTGTGTGTAACTACCTCCACAGTGGGTATTTTGTCTACATGTACACTGTCATAGGGCCACAAAGTATTGTCTATAAATTACCCCCCCCCAAAAAAAAAAAAAAAAAATTTAGTAAAAGATTACATCTTTTTCTTTCCTTACTTTTATAAAATTAATTACAGGTCAAAGAGAGATATATCCATCATACCCACTGAGTTAGCAACTGTCCGTGCCATGATTAAGATTTCCACCTTATCCACTTTAAAAGGTTAATGAAAACATAGCTACAAGAAGTATGCGTACCAATGTTAGAGCGGTCTCCTGGTCCTGATTGCCAAGTTCGTCTGCCGCTGGTCGTTCCTCACCAACTTGCAAATGGAAGTAGACAATCTTGTGTGTGAATGTGGAGAACTCGTTTGAGAAGCAGAATTTATGAACTCCTCCAATCTGAGCTTTCCATGTGAAACTGTCATACTGCTTCTTCACATCTCGGTACAGAAACTGAAGCCACAGCAATAAAATTGGATTGTAAATATAAAGATACAATAAAACTGGATTATAAAGTAAGCCAGATCAATAAAACTGGATTATAAATAAACAGTCATCCAGATAAATAAAACTGGATTATAAAGTAAGCCAGATCAATAAAACTGGTTTATAAATATAAAGACAGCAAGTAATACTAAATACAACATAAAAAGTGACTTGAAAGCTCAATGGAAGGATAAAAATGCACACAAAATACAACCGAATGTTTTGACAAGTCTTTATCTGCCCCACAAAAAACCTGCCAATTACTGCCTTTGTTATACTATTTTTGTGGTTATACCCTTAGAGCTATGCCGGCGGTAGCGTAACTACCAGCAAGGCCTCCCATGCCGGAAAGGTCAAAGGGTAGAGAACAAAGAGAGACGACACCCAGATCCTCCAGGCTGGGGGTTGAAACGTGGGGCCGACACCCCCACCTTCGTAAAACTTCATTTTGTCATGGAAAAGACACCTATCAAAGATGCAAACAGCACGGAATTGAGAGTAAGAAGCAATAATGAAATTCATAATCTGTTTAAATCAAAACTCAGTTCTGGAATCATGAGAGCAAAACAGACTGCAATGGCTGGGGTATACTGAAAGAATCTCAGATGATAGAGAGGTAAAAACTGTATACACAAGGGAGCTGAATGGTCGTAGACTACGAGGCAGACCTAAGAAGACGATGAAGAGACAATATCCAGCCAGACCTATAAACACTTGGTGTCACCAACTGGAAAGAGAAGGCGAAGCAGTGAGACGAATGGCGGTGGGTGATATCTGCAGCAATGAACCTCAAGGTCTAGGAATGCTGCAGAAGAAGAGTCTGACTGACTGACTGACTTTCCACCCCACTAGGACATCACACAAGCGACAAACACCCGATGACACAAAGTGCCACCATGTGGATGAGGATCACCGTGGAGAGGTCCCAGAAACCGCATTCAGACAATTGGCCATACTGATGGCCTGCCTTTATTGCGGCCCCTGGCAAAAGCCAGAGTGGGTCTTCAAAAAACAAAAAATTCTGTCCTAAAAAGGACGTAAAGAATAAGACTAAGCGTAATCATCAAATCGACTAACTGGTGGTTAAGAAGAAGAGTCATCACTGACTGTATTTATCACTTTTGTGTGGAGTGGGCAGGGCGTCCTCTGAGCCTGAGGATTTGGGTCACTTGGTTAGTGTAGGTGCCACGAAATGTGCAAGTTAGGATTTCATTTTGGCCCCGAACAGGAAAAAACCCATTACCTTAACCCTTTTAGCACGGGAAGTTTTTCAGAGGTCTAGCCAAAAACACGGAGCATTTTTTCAGTGAATTTGGTTATTACTTTATTTATTTTTTTTGACAGATTTCTGTTATTCTGACCCCTATGAAATAATATATCTATTTGAAGGATATAGATTGAAGTTAGTGATTTTCACAATATCGTTAAAATTAATTGATGTATATGCAAATTATCTCATTTGCATATCTAAAAATAGAAAATATGAATTTGAATTTTCAACTTCAATGCTTGAAACATAAAAATAAAAACAAAAATTTTTTTAATTTGAAATATTTTTATTGATCTTTGGCCTTTTTACAAATGTTGTAAGCAATTCAATAGTCAAAAACATGTATATATATGTGAAACAGCAATAATATCTTTAGGTGACATGTGTTTTTCACCATCAGTCAGCACTATAAATGGATGTGCCGGAGTGTCGACACCTTCGGGTGGATATACCCTGAGCCATGGTTGGGCTGTGGTCTGAACACAACAGCGTCCCCATCTGATTCCCACTATAACTACTAACACTAAATCCTGCATCAGTATCAACAGAATTAGTGTCAACACTTGATTCAAATGTTTTATCAACATCAAGTTTAGGGGCAGAAACATACGAGTCAGACATACTTTTAGCGGTTCAGGTCACTATCTAAAAAATTCAACAACAATTTTCACTTCGATACCAAACACTCGAAAGTCGCCATGTGTAAAGCTGATACCGCAGTTAATATAAATGAATCACTTTCAGTGTTTCAAAGTAGGAGATTTCTTAGCGGTTCGAGGCGAAACACGATCGGGCCGATCATCGGCCGTTCCGTGTTTTTGGCAAGACATCCGCCGGCCGATAATCGGCCCGTCCGTGCTAAGAGGGTTAAGGAAGATTCAGACCTGGGTCACCCGCACAACAGCCCAGCAGCCTCAACCTTTCGGCCAGCTGCTCCTCATTGGGAAATTGATGAACATTAAATAGGGCAAATTCAAGAAAACCAATGAAAAAAAAAATTATGTCTGAAGAACTTTTGGTAACAACATTTATAAGACTAAGAAGATGACAATATATTCAGCACATGCTGAGGAGAAGCAGACAGACAATCACCAGACAGGCACTTACAAATGAAACAAATCAACTAAGGAAACAAGGATGGCCAAGCTCTAAGACAAACACTGACGAAGGAGACCAAATGTGCTAGACTGGAATCTATCCATGAAAAGATTGCATATATCAAATCAAGTAAAAGTATATCCTGTAAGTAAATACCAAACTGACTGGTATTAAATGAGTTATGATCTTAGCGCAGGCTCTTTGGCCATTTTGGGGGATAACGCCCCTCCCTCGTCCCCGACATGTCATAAAAGATGAATAATTAGGAGTGTTTCCTTCTGTTGGAGTGCTTCTGCCTAAGAGGTGAGGAACCAAAAGTTGGCATTCAAAAATAAGCCAGACCTATAAAATGGATGTGCAGGCAAAAGTTCTGGAACAAAACCCATGAACAGAAGTGGATGAACAATCATAACTTTCTGCCAGAGTTTGCAGCCAGAAATGCCAAGAAGAAGAAGAAGAGAAAAGAATAAGTTAAAGGGGGAAACAGAACTAATAAAACTAAGAGACTGGGAAGAGGAGGCAGACATCTTTTAAACAGAATGAAAAAAAAAACATATAAGAAATGATAGATTCCTTTCTTGTGAGATAATTTTGGTTGTTACACATGTAAACGTCAGAAGCGGCTGGTTGAATGGTTTTGAACACCAGGCTCTTATGTGGGAGACCCAAGTTCAAATCCTCAGTAAGGTTGTTTATTTTTTTTTTTGTCTGGGTCAAAAATAAAATCCTAACCTGCAGTCCGTGCTGCCCTAAATCCTCAGCTCCCACGCCCCCCCCCCCTCCACTTTTCCCACCTACACCACACAAGTGGTAAATACAGGGAGCAATGGCAGTTTTTTTTACACATGAAAATGTGAACATGTAACAACAACTTATGCATGTGTGTGTGCGTGTGTTGAGGGGCCCATATGGGATGGGGAAGGGAGGTTGGGGACTGGGGAGGGGATGTGGAGGGGGGATAATGAACCTAATGTCTTTCAGTAAGCATTTAGTTATAGGTGACTAATTAAGGGTTTGTTGAAACTGAATGTGTCTGCTACATATACTCTAGCTGTAAAAAAAAAACACAATATTTCAACGTCCCCAAGAAGAGTCAGAAGAAGAAGAGGAAGAAGGAGAAGGAGGAGAAGAAGAAGAAGAAATACCTGGCCATTAGGGGATAAAATTTCCAAATCAACGTCATAATTTCCACCGGTCACCACCTGAGAAATATAAATGAATACATTAAGATGTAAAGAGTGTGAAATACATGAATAAGATTTAGAATCTCAGTATATGAATACATCACCTATATGTGTCATACCAGCCAGTGTGCATGGAAATGATCTGCTAACATGTGTTGCCAAAAATCGTGTGTCACATCTGTTTCCCAAAATAGTTGCTGGCTACGTTGTTTTATAGTTGTTAACATGATTTTTATCACTGTCATTATCTGAGGTTTTGTTTTTATCAGACACTTACCAAATTAGATGTAAACATGATTTTTTTTTAAATCTAAATTATTATGGTTTGTTTAGAGAGAGACACTTACCAATTAGTTGTGATTTTTTCTACCTTAATTATCATGAGATCTGTTTAGAAAGACAGAAACCAAACTAGCTGCTAATGTAATATTTTGTTAGGACTCTTTATACACTAGTGGCCCATTGGGGAAAATGGTGCAAGACTCACATATTTATAGACAAATCAGCAAAACATCAACAACGTAATATTTAACATCATCATTGTTTTAAAAAAATGTGTATGTGTGTGTGTAAATTAACTCTTTATGGCTCAAGCGATGCTGTGAGTGTTGACTGAGAAGTTCTAATTTGCTCAAACAACACATAAATATTGCTTAACACACAGCTCAGTATTTGTTTCAAATCTTCGGAGCTACTTTTAAAGTATTCAGGAAAGGTTACTCTAACGTTTTTTCTTTGTTTAGTAGCCTTTATTCAGCCATGTGTAGTCGCAAATTGATCTTATTCCTTTCCAGACCATGCATTTTGTAATTTTGTGTTCAACCCCATGGACACCAGTGTTCCAACCACAAGTGCAGGCTACATTATGCGTCTTTCTGTGGCCAAAGCTCAGAAATTGTTTCAGTCGGACTATTTCAATTCAGATAATGACAATGAAAAATTTAGATTTGTCGGAAAGTGATTCGGATGGTGAATTTACATCAGCCGCAGCTAAGCGATCAGCTGTTTGGGAATCTATCGATTCTGACAAGTTGGACACAGAGAGTGTTCCATTGCTACTGTATTTAGGGGGGGTAAGAAAAGGGAAGTGCTCTAAACAGACAGTATCATACTATGGCTAAACTATACTGAAATCATTGACCTATAGTCAGTATATAACTGTAAAAAGTAATTAGTAAATAGTGTGTGTGTAATGGTCAATTTTTCTGCCATTTTTTTCTCTGAAATTTTGTTCATCACTTTATGAGAACTTAGAGCCTCTGAGTGCTAAACTATTTCAGAAACTTATTATAACTTTGGAATATGTTAGGAAATTTAACAAACTATAAAGTGTTATTCTCAAATTTGGATATTCACTGCCCTTATGGCTGCAAAACCATGGCAAGTAAAGAAATTTGTTTTTGGTAAAATTTTGTTGTGAAATTAATACCTGCTGGTTTCTTCTTTCCAACTATCTATATCGGTATTAGTCATACACTTATTATCATATTCAAAATATACATTCATTTCTCTTTTAAAAAAAAATATATTTTTGTATTCTTCTTCTTCGCGTTCACCAGCTGTACACTCTGGCGGAAAGTTCTGGTTGGTCGTCTACTTCTGGACTGCAGTCCTGCTCCAGAACCTGAGTGTTGCGTGTGCATCAGTTTTACAGATCTGATTCACTTGAATGCAGACTGTTGATTCCTTGCCTCTCAGGCAGATGAACTCCAACTTCAAAGGAAGCTCCCAATTAGTCGACTCTTACGACATGCTTTTGGGGAGGCAGTGAGTCCATTCTTGTTTTCCCCACAATGGGGCCCCACAACCCACACGGGGAATTTTTGTAGTGATTGGAAGTATAGTATATTACATACTCCATTGTCTTTTTTGTACACCAACCCCTCTGCCTTATTTGTAAAAGGAAACTAATGTTGGCCAAGTCTGTAAAAGTTCATGGTCCTGAAAGAGTTAAGAGAATCAGAATCCCCTCCTGAAGGCCCTGGACTGTCATATTATTGGCATTGAACTCTAAATAAAGCTACATCTCCAACGGGTAACAAAAACAAAACAATATTCGACTACGTTGCTGTTTCTCACCCTCCGCCGGTTGCATTTTTACAGGGTGCACCTAATCTAAATATATTTTAGAAATAATCCCCCAAATCTTACTTGGAATTCAAGCGTCGCCTCCACTCCCTGATCAATATTCTCATAAAAACACATTTTCTCATTGTCCGGCAACTCGAAAGTCAGTTCTGCTGCAGACGACAGACTGAAAACTACAACAGAAAGACTAAACAATGTAGGATAAACCCCGATCATTTTCAGCTCTATGTTATCTTTATACAAAGCGAGCAGAATTCACAAATCGATTCTTGCTATCGGTAAATAAATCTTATTGTAAAGAATTTAGTGAAAGATTTAAGTGACAGTTGACGTGGAGATGCCGGCGTCCAACAACAATATACGGACTTCCGTTTCCGCTAGATGTTAACGCTCTCGGTACCAAGCAACACGCCTTGCGTTTGTTTGCTTTAACTGATATATTTCTATCTCATCGGATATACTCCTCATCCTTTTTTAGGATTACATTTTTCGTTATTTGAAGCCCTTCTCTGGCTCTTGTCAGGGGCCGCAATATAGCCTGGCCATAAATATGATCAAATGGCTGAACGCGGTTCCGGTTTCTGGGACTTATCCACGGGGATCCTCATCCACATGGTGGCATATTGTGTCTGGGGTGTTAATCGCTTGTGAAGTTGTGTGATGTCCTAGTGGGGTAGTATGTCAGTCAGTCAGTCTATCTCATCATGACCCAAGTATTTTTTTATATTAACCTGCTCGCCCCAAACTGTGTTCGTCAAGACTTGAGAAAAAAATTTTTGTGCGCCTTACCGGTACATTTTTTAAGTCATTTTTTTTTCTTTTAGCGATACTATTAGAGACACTTTGGGGTGAGTTCGGGCACTATTTTTCAACACTGATTTGTACCGGTAAAATTGTTTTTTAAGGAAAATAAAGTTCTGCTTAGTTTAAGTCTTTCTGCCTTATAATATTATTATAGCAACTCTTCTTATCTTTATTAGAATTATTACAACCATCCTTCGCTGACGAGCTGAGAACCGACATAATAGCATTCGAGACATTGCCATAATAGCCCCGTCTCCATTGTTAGCAGCAAGCACAGAGTTTGATTTCGGCTATCCTCCGAATAACGGTCCCAAATCATCGAGGCCGAAAATATACCCTAACAGGCCTCAGTTACATGTAAATCGCGTACTTCCGGCGACTACTACCACCACCGCCGAAAGTATCTCCCGCGCCGCTATGCGCGGAGTGGGGCTAAACTAGATGGCTGGGACTCACTAGCAAATAAAATGAAGGAAGCTGCAGGAGATGCGGTAGCTGTTGTTCGTGAGTCCCAGCCATCTAGTTAAGCCGAGCGTAGTGGCGCCGGAGATACTCTCGGTGGTGGCGGTAGTCGCCAGAAGTTTGCTATTCAAGTCGGCGGATATACACAATTTACATGTGACTGAGGCCCTGTTTGGGACCGTTATTTGGAGGATAGCCTGGGTTTCCTATGGTACCAGTAGCAGTCCGTCTATGTCCGTCTAGCCCCTTCTGTAAAGTGCCGGCCAGGAGCCCTGGTCACTTCTCGCAGCACCATTCTCTTCAGACTGTGATGATCTGTTTGTGCCTCCCCATTATTTGCTCACGCCTAAAGAGCCCTCACACTATCTAACTTGTCATGCGTCAATTTACCACCAAATGGTGCAGAACCAACCAATCTATTTGCCTTTCTTTCCCAACACACCGGCATATCATGGATAAAATACAAAAAGATGCTAAATACCCAGGACCTCTGAAGCGATGTTTGCTACTTTGCACAGAGCATACCTGTCTCAGCCGTTCTCAGCATGCTGTGTGAGTCAGTTATCACTACATGCGTGTGCAGCTGGTTCTAAAGCCAGCGGAAGGCTGCAATAACCGCCTCTACCTCTATTCTCAAACAAAATGTTTTAGTATCACATGCCAGCCTGTGTTGCACTAAGCGATGTCCATTCGCTTTAGTAAAGAACCTCCACGCACTACTTCTGCTTTTCAACACAAGGTCATCTGTACAGATAATAACATCACCCGAGCGGTAATTGTCATGAATCAGTTGTTGAACTTCTGATTCGGCAGTACCTGCTGGCCAGTCCCTAAACTCACGGCCTAATGATATCTCGTGTACGTCCCAAAATTAACCTTATGGCCTCATTCAGTGTGCCTTTAAGTTTCATCAGCGAACTCATACACGGTAAGTATTCCGATAATCTATTACCAAGAAGATCTCGTACTAGAAAATGAGCAACATAAGCCGATAAGCATAGGCTATCATTTCAGCATCTCACACGATCACTAGAATCACGGACAGATTAGTGCTCCTGACTTTCTCGAACAATATAATACAATCTTTAGGCTATTTGGGTGGGAAAAAGGGGGGGGGGGGGCGGGGTTATGGAGACCTATAATGTTCATGGGCCTAAGCCGCTCCCACTACCACCAAAAAAATTTGTATCGAACTAAGTACCCCATCCCTCCCCCACCCTTCTTTTCCCCACAACATCTTTAGGAGTACTCTATTTGAGTATCTGTTTAAATATTTTTTCTATAAAAGTATAATTAACATGCCATTCAGCACATAATAATAATAATAATAATAATAATAATAATAATAATAATAAAACTATAAACCAACAGCGCCCCTCCCCCCTGATTCACCCTTTAGAAAAAGGGCGCCCCTCCTCTCCTAGTGATTTCATTGTTGCGGCGAGCCTCATCTGACTACAGGTACCATTTGAATTAGAACTTAGCATTGGCCGCTTACAAAATGATGAGAGTGGTGCTTATAGGAATGCCCCAAGTTCTATGAGGACAGCTCTTAACTCACCTCGGATAAACTCAGCTCATCTCAAGAGATAACACTTTTATAACAACCATACTGGGTTGGGGGGGGGGGGGAGTGAAATCTAGAGATGTGCAGCGATATTTGGGGATAACGTGGAAAACTGGACAATGGCGACTGTGTCACCTTTTGGCTGGCCGGTAGACGACTTTGTCATCTTTGGGAAGGTGTTGTGATTTGGTAATCGCATCAACACTGCAGGAGTTTTTGTTTTGTTTCTAGGGCTGCTTGGCGGCGAGCAATTTTAAGTTATAATAGATGGCGCAAATAAGCATAGTCATAATTATAACCAAAAGCTCCCTCTTCGAGGATGCTGGTCGAACGTAAGGAGTTTTTTCTCCAATCATTTTCAGAAGCAAGCTATGAAGTGAAGAAATGGACGGACACCTGTCTCAGAGAGTGTATAATTTTAATGAGAGACAAGAAGAAGAAGAAGAAAGTTGAAGAAGAAGAAGAAGAAGAACAACAACAACAACACTAGCAACAACAACAATGAAAGAAATGAACTAATGAGCTAACGAAATAACGAACCATATTTTATTTTCAAAAGGTCTCATATTTAGCACGCTAGTTTGTCTTACATTTGGTCTTTCCAAAACTCTTCTTTTACATACAACAGCAGAAAAAGGAGGAGGAGATAGAAGAGGAGGGGAAGGCGTATGAGGAGGCGAAAAAAAAAATGACCCCAGACAATCGGTGAGAATGTATCCTTCGCATCCCATGTCTATGGTCTTGATATATGAAACAAAAAGAGAAAGTGAGGCTACTGCACGCAACCACATGCAGACAGTATTTAGTCACCATAATGTGCTATGCTAGTGAGTGTTCTGGCAATCAGTCTCGATTAACATAACACAGTTCCCCCAATCACGAATCAGGTTTGTTTTCTGGCCTCACCCTAGCTTAGTATCATCCAGGTATTTATCTTCTTGTCATCAGATTGCCACCCCTCCCCCACTTGAAAAAAAATTATTTTGTAATTTTCTCAGATCTCATTAACTTCTCACTTATTTCAGAGCACCACCCTTTTTTTTTCTCCGCCCTTAACATTAAGAAGCCATTGAGCGTCTTCGTTTAATTACCCTTTACAGTGGAACCTCGCTTAACGAGCATAATTCGTTCCAGAGTCATACACGTTAAGCGAAACACTCGTTATGCGAAACAATTTTTCTCATATAAATTAATGTAAAATATGATAATGCGTTCCATGTCGAAAAAGATACTCACAAAATGCTCTGTATAACGTTTATTCAAAGACAATTATATACATATTGTTAAGGAGTGGATCATCTTCATCTTTTCTTCAAACGCGTAACGAACCCACATGGGAATGCGAATTTCATTTGCAGAAAAAAAAAAGTCGAAATAATTATGATACATAGCAAATTTCTTTTTTTAGAAAGATGTCCAGAGATTTGTTTTTTTACCGACGCTTCAAAATTTGGCGAAAATGCGACACAACATTATCATCAAATAAATTTGCAACCCGTATAGCCACTTCCTTTTTAGGGCGATGCTTCTAAAGGTAAGATGCAACAGTTTGCCATGCTTTCAGCATTTCTCTTATTTCGCCAGAAAATTGTTGCTTTTCTGTTACTCCCTCCTCCACCTCCAAACTTTCCTCCAAAACGTAGCTCTTGGCTGTGCTCTTCCACAATATCTTTAATATCACTGTTATCCACCTGCAACCCCGTGATAGTGGCCAAAGGCACAATCTCGTTGACTACAGGTTTCACTGTCTCGACACCCCAAAAAGTCACAAATAGACAATACACTCCGGCCCAAAGCTTCTTCCAAGCAGAAGTTAGGATTCTCTTGGTAACCCCTTCTTCCGCCTTGTCGATCATCTTGAGGCAGGCAACGATGTGAAAGTGATTTTTCTCCAAAACTCTTTGAGAGTGAGGTTGGTCCCTTCAGTCACCTGAAAACAATGCTCGAAGAGTGCTTTAGTGTAGAGTTTCTTAAAGTTAGAAATAACTTGCTGGTCCATGGGCTGGAGTAACGGAGTGGTGTTGGGAGGCAGAAAACTGGATCTTGGTGAAAAATTCTTCAGAGACTTCATCTTGTAGGCCTGAATGATGCATGTACACATATACCAATATAACACAAGTTTGAGAAAATGTGTGATCACAAGTGACACTACGATGCTTCTGGAACGAGTGCTAAACACAGACTGATGTAACAGGCGCACAATCCGGGACTTCCCCTCTCCTCGGCACTCGTTATGCGAAACGTCGCTCTTTAAGCAAGTCATTTTTTTTTTTACAAATTGTTTTGCTCGTTATGCGAATTACTCGTTATGCGAGGTGCTCGTTAAGCGAGGCTCTACTGTACTTTTACCATTTTCACCTGCCCTTTGGAGTCCTACCTCATTTTCTTTCTACCAGTTCGCAGTATTCTTTAGATTTTTCTTAGAAATCCAAATTCGTATGCCATTATATGCTTTGTAGCTTGTTTCTTAATTGCCCACATTTCACATGCATACAACATTGCAGGTTTTATATATAACACATCAACACCAAAAGTGTAAAAACTCTAAGCTATCTTTGAAGAGGTACAGGCTCGAATCCCTTTCCTACCCAGTCCTAAAAAATGATTAACACAGACAGTTAAAAAAAACAATATAATTTTTTTTTTCCAGGCAGTACACAGTACAGTTCCTCTTCCAGAGGAAGAATTAGATCCACACACAATAAACAAGCTGCAATTTCCAGACGATCGGTACCTCTCCAACAAGGAGGAGAGTAGACTGCAAGAACATTTGAACAGGCCAAGTTCAACATTCAGAAGATATAATATGAAAATGAATTCAACTAAAACTGAAGAAATGCAGGTCAGCAGAATTCCTAGTCCGTTACATATCGCGTTGAATGGTAGTTGTCCGAAGTAAGTTAAAAGAAATTAAACATCTAGGAAGTATATCCCCCGGAAGGACAGGAGAATAGATAGGGAGGTAGAAACATGATTCCAACGACCACTGCACTTGTATACCAACTGACACAGTTATTAAGACACCAAAACATAGGTACGAGAGCCAAGAAACAGACTGTAAACCTCATAGTCACACCAGCATTGTGCTACCAGCCTCCTTTACCTTCTAGGACTTTGTGCCCAAGTAAGCTCAGTCGACCCGGGTGCAAAAGTAATATTTGAAAAAAAAAAGGTAGGTTCCGTCAGGACTTGAACCCACGTCGCAGGCGAACGTCTAGCCGCTTTATCACGACGGCTCTGAGGGATATAAGATCAACAGCAAAACCACGACCGTCGTCAACAACCACAGCAACATCAACAATAACAACGACGACAACCATTACAACAACAATATCGTCACATATAGCAACTTTATGAAAAATAATAACATTATCTTTAACAACGTTATTAATTTATTATTAAGCAATAACTTTTCAACAATATCATCATCGTCATCATTAGTATCAACAACAACATTAACAACACTGCCAACAATCAGTAACGACATCTCACAAACTATATAATGATAAGCAAGGATATGTTTGTTTTAGTATCCAGAAGCCGAGAGTTGTTAACCCTTAGGCTCGGTATTATGGATATCGCAACCTTTCGGCCTTGATTCCATTGTAAATACCGTAAATCTGGGAGAAATGTGGCTTTTCTGCCTACTCCCGGGAGTGAACGCGGACCACTAGGAGTTCGTCACCCGGTCACCGCGCAATTCGGTTTAGCCAACTACGCTACAGAGCCGGGCAAGCAAGGATATCATCTTCGGTATCATCAACTTAATTAACAATGCCATCAACACAATAATCAAAGCAATATCAGCACCAACCAGACACATACACAAGTAGCATCTTCATCGACATTTATTATCCCAAACGTTCTCATCCTCAACAGCCACATCAACAACGCCATTGGGACTGAGTTGTCTCGAGGTACGGTGTCTGATTCGAGTACTGGGATGTGTTTTACGTGGACCTTTAGTAATTTCCCCTGTCTCTGGATAGTAAGATAAGACGCCCGTGTTTATTGTTGCACACGTAAAAAATCCCTTGTCAGTTCTAAATCGGAAAGAGTAGCCTTACAGCTCTTCCTGGGCAAACATTTTGAGTCAAAAACCTACCAAAGTATTTCAGAATCCTCGCCGTTGCTACAGAGTTCGTTTACTGCGCTGAGATTGTTAAGAGTCAGACTTTAATAAGAACAGAGCACTTATGGGCTACACCCGTGTGCCATGATGTTGATCCGTCGAATAAACATTAAAAAAAAAAAAAAAACATTGCCAACAATGACATTATCAATAATACTAACAACACCAACAACAATATAAGTATCAAAACAGCTGCCGAGCTGCTACTACTGCCTGTATTTACAAATTATTGCGGTACAGACAGGACGGTCTTTGAGCCTGAAGAGTTAGGACCGCATGGCTAGTGCTTTCGTAAAGGACTGTGCAAATAAAGATTTGTTTTTGGGTGCCCTTTGATAGAAACTAAAAATCCACAGCCTTACCAAACATTAGAACCTGAGTAGGTAGGTAGGTGCTTTGCTGAAAAAAATCGTAACATTCAACCAGTTTTCCCGAGTTTTAGGTTATAATTGTGACTAGCTTATGTGCGTCACATAAATGGCTTAGCATTGCAGGCCACCAAGTAGCTCTGGAAATGACTCCTGCAGTGTTGATGCTATCAAAGAGACAGACCCACATACTGTCCTGACCGGCAACGAAATCGTCCACCGGCGAACAAATTGACGCCCCCTAATCCAGTCTCCTGCACGAGAGCTTAGTGTTCTTAATCATTCAGCCACCCCCACCTCCTCAAAACAACAACAAACTTGTCTAAACCATGGTAATAATAAACGAATCGTCGAGGGCCATTTAAAATTCAGTTAACAGAACTCATTAGAACTCGATCTACACACCTGGTTATGAGGGCGTAAAGGGTAATGAACGAGCGGACCAACTGGCAAGCAAGGCATCAACGCACGTAGGAAGAAGCATGGACAGAGCATATATCGTCAACACTGTACGGACTGGGTTAGTCGATAACAACGAATCTCTGACACTAACACGATTACGTGAGAGTAAAACATGACAAAGCACGCCTAAGACCCCGTCGAGGCCGAGATAGGAGACATTATATCATACTTCAGTAAAACATATGTTGGTCCCCCCCCCCCCCCTCCCCACACCCAATTCTTCTTCACAGAAGGTGACGGTGGTGTTCCCCAATACCGCTGATATCACATGTTCTGTATTTCACCATGCCAGCGCTTCTAACACTATAAAAACATGTAAAAAATGGGTCTGACACACAACCCCCCCCCCCTCCCGTGGGGGAGACTACGTTTGTTTAAATCCAACTTCTTATAGAAATTTTTGGAAGTACCTTGCAGTGGCTGTTGCATCGGAGGACTGAGCACGCATGAGAATGCGCAATGTACAGTGATGTTGATTGTGATAACATAACATATGATAACATTAGGAAATTAACAACTTCAAAAAATTATGTGGGATGGATCAAAACAGACATCAAAACAGCCATGGTTCGCTGCTGTAATTCATCTCAAGCGTTCTACTCCCGCTGTGTGGAGGCACACATGACAGCAGACTCCAGTTACCCAGACGTAAAACAGGACCCCCGCTTGAACCCGGACAAGTACGCGCCGTGTATGTCCAATTTCTTGGGTAGTCATCTCGCTCCGCAGATACAACACCAATGCTGATCTGTTTACTGCACCCGTGAGGATGTGAAATGATAACTACAGGTTGAGTTTCGGCATCATGGGCTGCATTGTTTTTGCTGCCCAGTTTATTAAACAGCTTACGATAATGACTGACCCTTGCCTCGAGTTTCCGGGAAAGGTCACTATCATGTGTCACGAAGGTCACCTCGCTGAAATCGCCATCAATGTCGCTCATTAACACTTCTACACCCAACAATGTATCACACTTTCCTCTGCAATCTTCTGAATCATAGTTAAGCTCGCATGATGCATGCTGCGCCTCAAAATCATCAAAGATGACATGTTTAGCAGTCCTGACAATGAACTGGCCCCATTGACTTCGAGCAACCGCTTTATTTGTAAAACATTCCTTACACGGACATGTTTCCTTGTCTTTTGTTGAGAAGCTTCTGAAGGAACTCCACACCCAACCGCTTCCAAAGCGTTTTAGACCACCTCTCCTGCCAAGTTTATGGCAAGTATATCCTTCTGGTCTGTCTAAGCTGGTTTCTTCGACAACAACACGGACTGTAATATGGATTGCAGCTTGAATTAAATCAAAGACGTCTTGCTTCTCCCGATAACTCTCCGGAAGACAGCCGGAGTGGAAGTCTGCCACAGGAATGAACTCTTCGTGGGTTGAATCCTTGTCGCAGAATGTTTTTTTAGTCAGTAGTTCGCTTTCATCCCCGGTGCAGAACTCCATTTCGTGTTCACCTGTTGATAAAAGTATTAATATTAATAATAAAGAAGTAGGTAAGTAGGTAGGCATACCCCACCAGGACATCACACAAGTGATAAACACCCGGTGACACAAAGTGCCACCATGCGGATGAGGATCACCCGTGGAGAGGTCCCATAAACCCCTTTCAGCCGTTAGTCCATATCCATGGCTAGGCCATATTTATCATCAGTTCTGTTTATGCCTAGTGGCACATGCGGCTTCAAAAAGGACTTTCCATGCTCTCCTGACCTGTGCAGTCTTCGGTGCAGTTTTCCATGTCTAAGATGCCGCACTCATCCATCGTTCGTCTCCATGTGGTTTTTGGGCGCCTCTTGTTTTTTTCTCTTTTCCTCTGGTATCCATGTGAGAGCTAGTTAGTTAGTTAGTTAGTTAGTTAGTTAGTTGGGTTATCCTCATTGCACTCCGGACATGTCCATAGGTGCTCAGATCCTCCCCTCAGTATGAACCCCAACGTCCGATGGCTAATAGTACCAGTTCTATGTTGATTAACAAGTCTTCTGGCGTAGCTGGTGTGCGTCTCGTTTTTTGCTGTGCCGATCTTAATTCCCAAGTCTGCCATTCTGGCGAGTGATGTGGATTCACTGCCACCAAAGTCGTCTATCCTTCCCATTTCTCTGAGGGCATTGATAATATCAGCATGATCCATAGGCTGACCGTCGGTAGTGATAGCGGATCCAGCCAACCTGTCAGCTCTTTCATTTCCATCGACGCCTGCGTGTCCCGGAACAAAAATAAAGGTGACTCCACGGACAGTGGACTTCTGTAATGATTCAAGCCATTGCCTTCGCACTGAACCTGCCTGAACCCTCCGGATCATACTCATTGAATCACTGAGTATACACACGCGGGTGTATTTTTTGTGTTTCAAGCCAGGCAAGCGCTTGTGTCACTGCCATCACCTCCATCGTCATGCTGCTGGTTGTCATGGAGAAGGCGCCGTTGGCTTCTTTGACTGTTCTGCCCGCTGAGCGTGCTGTAAATGCCCATGCGCTTCTTCTTTGGCGTATAACGGATCCGTCTGTATAGATTATTGCATCTGCTTCGTCTGAATTTTCACCGATGAGAGCGTTGACCTCTGCATTAACAGCAACAGGATTCTCTTCTCTACATCGCCTGTTGAGTGTGGCAATACAGGAAAATGTACAAATAAACGCCTGAGGCACAGGTATCCATTCTGCACCAGGTATGATGTCTGTTAGGCTGCATATTTGCCTAATAACATCTTCTGCCCGACCTAGCCACGATTTCCCCCTCTTCAGTCTGTCGCCCTTTTCACTGAAAAGCGCTTGATGCAGTGGGTGTTTCTTATCAGCACATATTTTGAGATATGCCCGAGCCCTCCACATCCTGATCCTTTGGTTCATTGTTGGAAAGTCAAGTAGATACCTCATTGCTCCACAGGATGTGTCTCTAGTACATCCCAAAATAATGCGCATGGCTTCATTTTGCACCTTTTCGAGTCGTTAAATCTGGGTGGCACTGACAGTGAGGATGGCCAGAGCGTATTCAATGGGGGAAAGGACCAGACCGTAGAATAGAAGTATTAGTAGTCTTTGCTCAATGTTGGAAGCAGCCATAATCCTCATTGCAGATAGACCTTTGCGTGCTTTTGTTATTACATGGTCAACGTGTTCCCTGAATGACAAGCTGCGATCGAACCTCACCCCGAGAAACGTCATAACGTTGGTTCTGATCAATACATTATCACGCATTTTCACTTCTGGTAAGTCCGACTTGACAATGTGATTGTTCAAAGAGAACCATGACACTGATGCCTTCGAAGGATTGACATAGGCATTGGAACCATCACACCAGGCGGCAATTCGATCGAGTTCTTTGTGCATAGTGCTGGCGATCTCCTGTCTATCACGCCCTCGTCGATAAATCAAAATGTCATCAGCAAATGACAAAGTCCTCCCCTTTCCAGTCAACTGCTGCTCAGTGATCATCACCGTATAAACGTTGAATAAGACTGGTGATAGCGGTGATCCCTGTGGCAAGCCTGGACATATCGTTTGCGGTTCTGAGGACCAGCTACCACATCTTAGTACAATCTTTCTCTGGAACAGGACCGCAGCAATCCAGCGGATCAGAATAGGATTAACTTCTAGTTTAAGCAGTAATTGCATTAAATAATCGTATGGTACTTTATTGTAGGCATCTTCTAAGTCCAACACTGCCGCACATGTCTCTTCTTTAATCTGAAATCCCTCGTACACATCGTAGGCGAAAACTGCAGCATTGAACCATGTCTCTTTATTTAACCTGTACCCTCCAAGTGTTGGTGGGAACTTATCATGTAGTTCCAAGTAGGTGGTCAATCTTTGTGCGACAATTTTTTCCAAAAGTTTGCCAACAGTATTCTGCATCGAGATGATTCTGTAGCCGCAGATCTTCGAGTGGTCTTTATTGGGCTTTGGTAGTGGGAACAAATAACTATGGAGCCATTCCTCTTGTATCTGGCCACTCTGGATGCTGATATTGAATTCCTTTGCCACGCTTTTCAAATCAGCATTCGACATCATCAGCATGTCGTTGTATCGGATGCCGTCAGGACCTGGAGCAGTGCTGCGCGATTTCTTGAGGCAAGTTCTTAAGGTGTCTGCAGTGATTGTGAAATCAGTGCCTAGCTCAGTGTTCTCGCACAGCATCGACAGTTTCATCTTAACCCCTATTCTTGTAGCTTCGTCTTTTTGGTCAGTTTGCTCCAAGTAGCGCGCCAGAAAGGTTTTTCCTTTATCAGCATCAGTTCTCTGCCATATCAGGTCTGTACCCTGAAAATCAGGGATGCCCCTTGGTCGTGCGGCACCGTGCATGCTCCGTTGAAGGCGCCAGAATGTCACAAGAGATCCCTCGGAGCAAACGCTCTTGCAGAATTCGTTCCATTTCGCTGTCTTAGCTTCCTTCGCAATTAACTTGAAAGACACTGTCTGCTTGTTGACCTCATCTTTCAGACTGATCAGGCGTTCGGAAAGTGACGGATCAATTTTCCTTGCCTTTTGCCATGCCTTGACAGCTTTCTTTTTTTCTAGCCACGCCATGTTGACTACTTCATTCCACCATGGTGGCTGGGCCCATCTCTCCCGCCGTCTGCGATCTGCTCTTGTTTTACGTCGTCGGATTTTGCTAATGGCATCTTGCCCTGTACGGTCATATATAAAAGCAGGCACATTGATTACATGACCTTTGTTGTTGCTCTTCTCTACCAGGACGACGCAAGGAAAGTGATCACTGTCGTGGTATCCCAGTGTGCTCCACCTGCATCCTGATGCAATGGAGGGAGACACTAGGGCCAGGTCAATTACGCTGTCAGAATCCCCTTGTCGTGTTGCCATTCGGGTAACCTTTCCGTCGTTCAAGCATACTAGATTGGCAGACACTAGGGCATCCTCCAGGTCTTCCCCCTGTTTATTAGTGATTACATTGCCCCACTGGTGTCCTCTGGCGTTGAAATCTCCGCAGTAAAGGACTTTCTTTTCCTCCGTCTGGAGCAAACTCTGCCATTTCGCTGTATCCATCTTTCCATTGCAGGCGTACACATTGACAATCACAAACTGGGCCGGGCCCATCACTCTGACTGCGTGTACTTGTAGGTCGTCATTATTCCACTTAGACATGTCCACCTCAGACACCGGTATGTGGTCACGAACAAGAATGAGCTGTCCGAGGTGCCGTCTATTGTAGAAGGATTGGAAGCCCGCAATTTTAATGATCTCGTCACCGAGGGTGTGTTTCCTGTAGGACAACAATGTCGTTGCTGTAGAGGAGCTTCTCAAAAATGGGTCGGCGTTGACTGAACGAAGCGCAGTTCCAGTAGAGAACACGAACATACTTTAAACTGAGTCTCTCACATTTCAGCCGCTTCCTGCAGGCGCCACCGTGCTTGCCTGTTCGCGTTCTCCTTGTCCGTCTACGGGTTGTTTTGAATTGGTAAATAGTCGCCATCGGACGTCGAATACACCCTGAGGGAAGTCTAAACTCACGTGCATGTACTCCATTGCACGGTTAAGACCCCATTCCGATGAAACTTTAACATTATACGTGAGCGAAAATAGCTAATTTGCGCCATTCGCCTCAACGGACGAAAAAGCGTACCGCCATTGTGGCTGTTTACACCGGAAGTCCCCATGTGAGAGCTGTTTTGGCATGTATATCAGGATTCATTCTCATAACGTGGCCAAGCCATTTCCATCTTCTCTTTGTTATCATACTGTCTATAGTTTCTTAGTTTGTGACTTGTAATTTAGTGTTTGAGATTGTATCTGGCCATATTTATGAGCCAGCTATATTCAGGGCCACCGGCAAAAGCCAGGGTGGGGCTTCAAAATAAGAAAAAAAAATTGCTTCCCACGAGGGCACGATTGAATAGACAAAGAAGTATAATGAAGTACCAACACAGACGCTATATATACGAAGATTAAAAACAAGAGGGCGCTCCGCCTAAGGAGAACATGGACTGACTTTAACTCTTGAGTCCCAAGAACGCATCATACGTTCATAGATTCCTACCTAGAGGCCCAATGAACGCAAGATGCGCCGATTGTACGTCTCTCTTGACTACCTCTTGGGCCTCTGATACTAAAGCCTCTGGGACTAAAAGAGTGAAAGACATTCTACATCAAAAGGAATGGCAAAAGCCAGTGCTACCCATTCAGCAATGGATGCCAACTGGTTCTTCCTCCACCACAAAAGAAGAACTTGACAATGAAGATGATGAATAAGGTGCCAGTACTGCATACTGTTGCGTATCACCAAAAGAAAGCACTGATGTTCTTATCATCATTTTCACCATCTCTATCATGATTATCATCAGATCCTCCTCTTTCTTCTTTTTCTTAACTGTAGCTTTTTACTGACTTCAGTCGCGCACACACACACGTTCTCTTTTTAACAGACTCACAAAAGATGGGCAGAAATATGGAGACATCATGCGCGGTGCATTTATTCATGTCTCTAGTGTCTAAGACGCCATGTTTTCCACTTCCCTGCGTTTTTGTAACACTTAAAACATGTCTACAAAATATGTCAACACTGTAGACACG